TATCCACCGTGAAGGTTTACGTCACCGGTTAGTTCGCCTTGGAAACAAAACTTATGGAAGATAAATCTGTGTTTGTGTGTTTGGTTTGTCAGCACGTTTACCTGGGGATGAAGTTGATCAATAAACACAGACAGACAGACAGACAGACAGATAGATAGATAGATATTGATAGATAGATAGGAGTCCGCCTTCACTTGGTCCTCAACACCCATGGCAGTACTCCTGTAGCGGACCAATGTTAAGTGCGTGCTGTGTCGCTGTTGCTGGGCTGTTGGCCCACTGTATCACTGCTGCTGCGTTCTGATGGGTCTTTGCTGTGTTGCTGTTGTCGATCCTTTGCTGCGTTGCTGTTGTTGATCCTTTGCTGTGTTGCTGCTGTCGATCCGTTGCTGTGTTGCTGTTGTCGATCCGTTGCTGTGTTGCTGTTGTCGATCCGTTGCTGTGTTGCTGTTGCCGTGAAGCAACTACACCGTGACGGAGAAAGTAAACTTCGATCCGTGACGCTCATTCTCTCTCGCTCACTCCCTCTGGGCGTTACAAATTACGAGGAGAAACGGAAGATAAGGAGAAACAGATACGTCCAGTAATTTAAACAAGAGATGGATAAATGCGGAATAAAAAACATTAACAAAGAAAACAAAGAACCGGAGAAGAACAACGTCAGAATAAAGTTGGGAGAGAGAGAGAGTTGGATAATTGGGTATTTCCGAAGGTCATGTGGCGTTGTGGTTTTGTTGTTGTTGTGGTGATGGTGAGTTATGCAAGCAAGGACGCTCTCTCTCTCTCTCTCTCTCTCTCTCTCTCTCTCTCTCTCTCTCTCTCAAGAAAGATAGGGAAATAGGTACATAGATAGATAAGCTCTCTCCTTCTATGGTGATCTGAATCAAAAAGCCACAAAAACATTCCTTCCTTCATTCAGCGCCATTTGTCTTCTGTAGTTTTTTATTTGAGGGAAGGAGGGAGAAGGAAGGAGGGAGGTGAGGGAAGGAGGGAGGAGAGGGAAGGAGGGAGGGAGGAGAGGGAAGGAGGGAGGTGAGGGAAGGAGGGAGGATAGGGAAGAAGGGAGGTGAGGGAAGGAAGGAGGAGAGGGAAGGAGGGAGGAGAGGGAAGGAGGGAGGTAGAGGCTGCCTTTCCCTGCTGTGTCCTAATATGGGGGTTCCTCTTCCACAACACAGCCTCAAGACACTTCACTCATTCAGTTTATTACATCACGATACCTCATTAAACCCAACACCACATAAAAGTTTTTCACATTCCTTTTATAAATACAAAAGCCCTTCAAATTCCTTCTTCATATACACAAAAACGATAATACAAAACAGAATTCTCGTGTAGTCTTGTTCCGAAATGTACACTACAGGGTAAACCCGAATCAGATGGTATAGTGGGGTTCAGAGGCTCGTTTACCAGTCCAGAACCTCGAAGACTTTTTTTTTCTGTTTGAAGACTCGTTCCACCACTCCAAAGACTCGTTCCAACAAACCGCTTCAAGACTCATTCCAACAGTTCGGGCATTCGTTCCAATGGTTCAGACATTCATTTCAATAGTTCAGAGACTCGTTCCAACTGTTCAGACATTCGTTCCAATGGTTCAGAGACTTCTTCCATCAAATAACTCAAATAAATTAACCTCTGGCATATAGAACAACTCCTTTTTTTTCTGACAGAACAAATTGAAAGCTACTTGTTCATTATGGCCTCGTAGTGTTGAGAGCAGCAAGTAATGTTTACCTGATGTGACTGCGCGTGTCAGGTGTCATGCGTCAGTACCCTCCAGGTGGTTCATGAATCACCTGCCTGTTAAGAGATGGTGATTGACGTGCGTGTGATGCACCGCCGTGATGGTATTGTCATTAATGTAGGTGCTGTGTCATGCACGTATGTATGTATGTGTGTGTGTATGAATGTATGTATTTGATCTCTCTCTCTACAATCACACAAGCAATAGCACTCACCATAACTATCCCGGGGATGAGAGAGAATGGTGAGGGAAGTGAAAGAAAAGAAGTAAGGAGGGGGAAAGAGAGAGATATGAACACCATATGTTGAGCCAAGAACAGGAGTATAACCGACCTAAGATACAGTCGCTACCTACCGGCTCCCTGTGCCATGGTCAGTTGGTCACCACACACTCGCTGCTCTTACACCATTACAATTCGGTTTCTTACGGCCTTAACCTATATAATATTTCACAAGTCCCTCTGCTGGTGTTCGTCAGTCTTTCCTCGTGTGTGATAAGAGATTGGATGGGTAGTGCGTATGATGGTTTTGATGGAACGGATTTTTGAGGGGAAATCTGATTTTTCCTTTTGGTGTTTTGTATAAGATGGTGAGGATGATTGATTAGAAAAATACTGTAATAATAATGATGATAATAATAATAATAATAATAATAATAATAATAATAATAATAATAATAATAATAATAATAATAATAATAATAATTTCAAAAGATTCACATTAACATTAAATTTCCGCCGACGTAAATAGGGATATAAATTATGACGTCACTGGAGGGTTACCCCGAATCATGAATTACTCACACACGGGGCTACATAAGGGGTCAGGACAGAACAAAGGTCATCACGGGTGGTGCCTCAGTAGGTCTTGGTTGGCACTCCATGACAAAGGTCTTCTCTCTCTCTCTCTCTCTCTCGGCCTGGTGATGGTAGGGGCGTGTGTTGCGCCAGCCACCACCACCACCTACACCACACTTTCTCATCTGCTTCGCTCACTCACGCCTTCTGGCTATAGGGCGAACCGGTGTTGCTGAGCTGCAGTTAAGACATGTTTAGCCGTTGATCTACTTTCGATTTTAAGACTGCAATAAACTTTACCTTTCGTTGACTCTTACTTTTTTGACTTTGTAATCTCATCGACTGACCTTCACTTTCTTAATCCCTTTTTTTTTATAACTTCTCGGGCTTATGTTTATTCGTGGTAATTGATTCGTAACACAAAGTAATCATAGATATTTTTTACCATAACTCGCGATAAAAATTAGAATGGTGAGCTGGAGTCGCCCAGATACTGTACAGTTATAATGGGATAATTTTGGTGGATCTATGATAATGCTGCACCTCTCGGGGATTTAGCTACAAGGTTATTGGTAAAATATTGTATACTGGACGAGCAATGCTTATATATAACTTCACATACACTGCGGAATTATGCCATCTAGTACCTCGTAGCTGCTCCTATTGGGAAGACGATAAAAGAGCAAATGGTGAAGGAGGCACAGTGGGGAGGCGCGATATTGTTGCACTGTTATAGTTTTTTGCCACAAAGTCTGCAATTGTTGAGTTCAAGTAACTATTACAATCTCGTATAATAATCAATAATCACAACATAATAGATAAGTACACTTGTGAGGTCCATACACCGCCTCGGATGATAGAGAGAGAGGAAGCAGTGGCAACGTAAAGGAGTGTCCCGTAGATCCACCTCAGAAACACACTCGATTGAGAACCAGTTATGGCAGTCCCTTCTGTGTCCTTTCACTTGCTCAGAACAACGTGACTTGGGCCACACTCCTCAAGGGACCCCTAAAATTTCTAATTTTAACACAGGTCTAGCTGTAGTACCGAAGACAACACATACCTTCTTCTCTGATGATGGGGATGATGATGATGATGAAGGTGAGGAGGCAAGCTGTGGTGATGGGGAGGCGATGAGATGGTCCCTCCACCGAGTCTTGGCCAGGTCTGCCTCTCACAGCTGACTCCTGTCGACTGAGCTGATCAACTTTGAACTTTCGCGGGAGGGAGGTGGCCATGAGGCAGGCCAGCTCCCGCTCGTTTACCGCAGCGCACCGCCTCGTTCTATTTTACTTCGTTTGGTCTACTTTTGTGTCAATCTAAAGCATTAGTGAACAATCAGGAAGCTGTTTATGGTTCGCGCACCCCAGAAAGCGCACTGACTAGTTCTAAATAAGAAAAAGGAGGTGACCTTTTCGTGGCCTATCGACTCAAAGAAGGTCGAGAAATATACCACACAACCCTGTTTCCTTCCTCTCGAGTGATGTATAAAAACACTGGTTTCCTTCTCCTTGATAAGATTGTTACTGTGCTCAACAACTTGGACATTTATCTAACCTTGATGGACCATTTCCTTTGCTTGACAATTATAAGTCTCGCCTTGATAGAACGCCCCAAGATATGAGTCCACTTGTCGTATAAGACACCCCACGTCACCGCCAGTAAGGAGGGACGGGGGTAGACTTGTCTAACCTCTCCTCCACCGCCTCCTCCTGTAACTGGCTTACCTTGGCCGCTGTGTTGCTATGTGTTCGACATCTGTTACAAAGATGAACACACATACACACACTCTCACCCATAAGGAAAGTCACTGATTTTACCTCGAGTTGAGAGAGAAGAGATGAAAAGAATTATCAAAACCTTTCTGAATCACCCAGCCAGGCACCATATTGTGGTTCCCATTCCATAACCTGTACTTCCCTCCATGACTGTAGTGAAATTACTGTATCGACACTTATGTTCATACCTGCTCCAGCTTTGAAATAATTTTACTTGTACTTATACCTGCAATTGTAACTGTACCACTTGTGCCTACGCTGTACCTGAATATATATATTTACAGTCTATCTGAACCGGTCCTCCGTTATCTACACCTGTACCTGTATTGAAGTAACTGTGCCTGTGTTTTTGTTTAACCTGAGTTGTAATTACTATATATGATTTTTTTACTAATGCCGACACGTGTACTTGTACCCGTCCCTGTACTTATACCTGTAACTGTACTTATACCTGTAACTGTACTTATACCTGTACTTTTGCTCATTTATGTACTTGTACCGTTGTACATTTAGTTGTATCTGGACCTATACTTGTACCTGTACTTGTGTCTATACTATTAGTTGCATTTTTACCTATTGCTGTAGTGGTACTTTTAATAGTACTTGTATCTGTATTAATGTAGTATGTGTACCTGTACTTGTAGTTATCTTTACTGTTGTTAAACTACACATTACTTGGACTAACCTCTGACTGTACAGGGTTGGGCAGGTCTGGCCTCCACTTCATGATTCCTTTAGTCATGTCACCCTTAGTGGCTCACCATGTGTGACCACACTGTTAATTACAGGTGCGTGCGAATCCAGGTTGATTTCAGAAGGTGATTCCAGTTTGAATCTAGGTTGAGTCCAAGTTCGTTCCAGTTTGAATCTAGGTTGAGCCCAAGTTCATTCCAGTTTGATTGACTCCAGTTTTGAGTCCATGTGGATGTCTGCCATCAGTAGGTTGATTCGCCCTGAGAAAGTTGAATAATTAATCAGAGGTACAGTAAAGACTAAGGAGGGAACATGCTCGCTCTCTCTCTCTCTCTCTCTCTCTCTCTCTCTCTCTCTCTTTAAATATTCAACTCCATTCTTTCTGTCTATCTACTTTTCTATTCATCAACCTATCTATCAATTCAACTGTTTACTTATCTTTCATGTACGTATTCCTATATCTATCTATTGTATTTATCCATCCATATGTTTATCTAGATTTACGAGAGAAAATTTTTATTTTCTTATTATTTTAAATTGGTATTATAATTAGTAGTAATAGTAGTAGTAGTAGTAGAAAGCCGACAACAGTTGCAGATATTGACTATGAGGCTACAGTCACTGAATGGCGCATAGATCTGCGGCTCAACTAACTCAACACAGCTAGGATAGCTACTTCTGTATTAGGATATTTAATATTAAGGTAATAAAATGGTGGCGAAGGTGTGGCTATTGGGGGAGGCTGGAGGCCAATTTAAAAAAAAAGTAGTAGTAGTAGGGTACCACCCAAACGCCAGCAAGTCCTTCCTCATCGTGAAGCCAGAATATTATGAACGGGCATTGGAGGTTTTTGGCGGAAGTGAGGTCAAAATAACTAAGGACGGCCAAAGACATCTAGGCGCAGTAATTGGCACTACGGACTTCAAGACCAAGTACGTGGCGGGAAAGGTGAATGAGTGGGTTAGTGAAATCCAAGCTCTATCTGAGATTGCTAACACAGAGCCACATGCGGCCTTTGCTGCATTCACCCATGGAGTCAAGCATCGTTGGAACTACCTGATGCGTACTATCCTTGATATCGGACCCCTCCTCCACCCTCTGGAAGAAGCTATCAGTGTCAAGTTCATTCCCAAATTAGTGAAACACCCTGACTTAACCCCAGCAGAAAGAGCACTTCTTGCACTTCCACCAAGACTGGGAGGGATGGGACTAACAAATCCAGAGGAGATTGCTGCCACTGAACATCAAAATTCACTTAAGCTCACGGCAGCCCTCACGGACCACATAATAGCCCAGAATGCAACAGGGGAAGTGGATACCAGCAAAGTAATTAAGATTCGTAGGTCCATTACGACAGATCGACAGCACTGCCAAAATGATAAGTTGCAGCAACTATTGCTGCAGGTACCAGAAAATTTGAAAAAAAAAGTAGCTTTAGCACAGGAGGTGGGCGCCTCGAACTGGTTAACTACGTTACCGATAAGGGCAAATGGTTTCAGTCTTAATAAACAAGAATTTACAGATGCCATTGCTCTAAGGTACGGTCGGCCAGTAGAAGGTTTGCCCTCCCAATGCGTGTGTGGCTCTTCCTATGATAGCGATCATGCCATGGTGTGCAAGAAGGGGGGCTTCATATGCATGAGGTATGACGAGGTAAGGGATCTCACAGCAAATATGTTGAAGGAAATCTGCCGGGATGTCATGGTAGAACCGACCCTCCTTCCATTGGATGGTGAGATCTTCCAACACAGGACTTCAAACACATCTAACGAAGCCCGTGTGGACGTCAGTGCTCGAGGAATCTGGACGCGGGGACAGCGAGCTTCCTTCGACATCAGGAATTTTGATCCCATGGCCGCATGTCACCGTAACCTAGCTCTCGATGCTGCACATAGGAGGAACGAGAACAACAAGAGAAGGGCATATGGGGAGAGAATTCAAAACGTTGATCAAGGCAGCTTCACTCCTCTAGTGTTCACAACCTCTGCTGGGATGGGCCCAAGTGCAAGATGTTTCTATGCCAGACTCGCGGAGTTGATCTCCGAACAGAAGCAGCAGCCCAGAAGTTATGTTACAGCCTGGATGAGATGTCGACTGTCCTTCTCTCTCCTTCGGTAGGCTTTGCTCTGCCTCAGGGGAACGAGAGCTTCTGCCCCTACTCCGACAACTGCTGCAGATATTGACTATGAGGCTACAGTCACTGAATGCCGCATAGATCTGCGGCTCAACTAATTTAACACAGATAGGATAGCTTCTTATGTATTAGGATATTTAATATTAAGGTAAATAAATGGTGGCGAAGGTGTGGCTATTGGGGAGGCTGGAGGCCACGTAAAAAAAAAAAAAAAAAAAAGTAGTAGTAGTAGTTGTAGTAGTAGTATCGTAGTAGTTGTAGTAGTAGTTGTAGTAGTAGTCGTAGTATCAGTAGTAGTAAGAAGTGGATAGGGAGAGAAGAGAGGAAGTCACTAAAATTACAATAATTCCCTTATTCGAACATCGACCCAATTTCGAAATCTCATCATCATCACATCGAGTTTTGTATGAGTCAATATCCCCTATCCACCCACCCATCCACATCCCCACTCCCCCACCAGACCGGGTCATGACGTAACCCATTCCCTCTCACAACGGGGATGAACCACGCCTTGCATTTCCCCCCCACTTCCCTCCCTCACCCACTTCCCTCCCTCCCCCTACCTTTGACCCCCTCCAGCTATATAACTCTTGCACTAACTTTACAGCTGTCTGTTTTGTTTATCTTTTTATAACTGAGACATCTGTTGCCAGTCCAGAACTCTGTGCACTCTGTGGGTCTGTAGCTTCTGATCCTCATAGCTCTATATACATTTAAAGCTTCGTCGTTTAGTCTATAGCTTTTTATTACTCTAGTACAAATTTGTAACGCCACAACTTTACAACTCCATAACTACAATTGTACAAGTTTATAGCCTAGAACTATAATTCCGTAACTCTACAAGTTTACAACCTGTAACTGTAACTCTACAACTGCATTTCACCACCATTCGTTGAACCATCATCCCTCTCCTCACCTAATAATCATCCTACGCCCTCCCTGGCCAAGAGAGAAAGGCGTCCCCACCGACAAACTGAGAGTCCTACTTGCTGGCTCATCTCTTTAGCAGGATCCCCACGTCCTCCTGCACGGGGCTGAAGGAGGGAAGCATGACTATCAATAAAGAGGAGTCCCACATCTTGTCAACACCTTGTAAGGAATCATTTTATTCCTTAGCGGAGAGATTTTAAGATCATTAAACGAGGAAGAAAGAGAGCATTGGTTGCAAGACATACACATCTCTCTCTCTCTCTCTCTCTCTCTCTCTCTCGGACTCGCGTGAAGTCACCCAACCACTTTCCTTTCTGCCCCCTGCCTGACCTTGTGACGTAGGGAGGGTCAGAGTTCCCGGTCCCTCCTGCCCCCTTGTTCCTGTACAGTGAAAAAGACAGAGGGAAGGAGAGAAAGAGAGAAAGTGAAAGAGTGAGAGAACGGAAGTCATGCTGAGGCTTCAATCTCTACTCTGTTGAAACAAAATAATCATTCTTTCTTGCATGTAATTTTTTACGACTGAACCAAGTACAGTAACTATCAATACTTAGTGCAGAAAAAGTTTAGAACTTCGTTCAAACGCGGAACTCATTGTATGTATCAAATTTCAAGTCAACTTAAAATTATTACACCAAAAACATTCATTAATAAATCTGGAAACTCAGTCACACAGATTTATCGCCAGCAAGAGCTCGTTATATTGTCGCTGATGATGAAGGTTCCATTTTAAAAGGTGTATTTCATATAAAAAATCAGTTTCATTTATCAATTTTTTATTTTACCCCTCAAGAAACAGAAATTGTGTATTATTAATCATTTTGTCTTATAGTGAAGCTGAAGTGGTCCAGTGATGATAAGATATTCGTTTATGCTGTCCAGTAAATGTATATGAAAAATTTAGTCCGAAAGTAAGTTTTGCGCTGGTATTCATTTTATTCGTGTCAGTATATGTATCTTTTTACTTCTGTCTAAGCTTTTTTTTTTATTACTACAATTCGTGTCAGCGTAATATTTTCGTTTCACCTTTTTTGCGATCGAGTTTTATTCTTGAAACAGAAACTTGGCAATTCAGGTTAAAACGTGAGACGTAGAAATACAGTTTATACATTATGTGTTTTATCGGTGAAAAAATTATTAGACATGAAAGCGATTTACTTAGAAATACGACATTATTACAAGTGTAGTGTACTGTAGGTTGAGGTATATAGTAAACAACACGGAGATATATTTTCATGTTGTGAGATAATTATAAAGTTGATGTTTTACAGTAACTTGCATTAAATACTGTACGAATACAAATAAAAACGCTACACAGCCTAGTTATTACACCTAACACGGTAAACATCCCTAGTTCCGACTCGATATTGCATATACTGTAGTGAGAAGTATTAATTCTTTTATTTATGGTGGTCAGTTCTTACATTTTCCATTTCTGTAGAAAACTCAAATTAAAGTCCACAAGGAATCCGAACTCTTCTTCATAATTACATGGAACACAAAATACGTACTAAGTTAGGTCTATATCCCCAGACATTAAATTATTTAGTTGTGGACCATATTTCTGGAACCTTGAACAGTGTGGGGACCAGTGTGCAAATGTGGTTTAAATTACATGAGACTCATCTTTGCTGCTACGTCCAGCCTTGTGGTAGTTCCAGCCCAGTAGCACCTCCAGTCCAGTAGCACCTCCAGTCCAGTAGCAGTTAACTCCCCAGTTAAAGGTTTATATCATTATGTGATATTTATAATATAAATGTGTTACCAGATGCTTCCCGCTTAATCAGCTATACAAAGAGTAAAAATTGGCTAGAAACTGGCTAAATAGCAAGAGAAACTAGCTAGAAATAGGGCTAACATTCCAAAGCAGAGTTTTTACATCCTTTCAATGTGAAGCAATACATATTCCGTTTTCATCTTATTGTTATTCCTTAGCTATTCTTAAACAAATTCATCTGACTAAATATCCTTTCCACTACTGCATTTGA